AAAGAATATCAACTGACACTTTAAAATAAACGACAACAAATGTTCTGATATCAGTCGGAAATTGTATCATATACCTAAGTAAAGATGTATAATCAACGTTTCAATCCATATTTATTATAAAAATTATGTTCCTTGGTTATTTTTTTTTAAATAGATCTCGAGCTCAGAAACTATTGTCAATAGCTATTTTAAAGGGGGTGTTTGATTTGGAACACGTTTATGTGTGATAAGGATTTGTCTGTAAAAACCCGGGTGGTTAAGTTAGTTCGGTGATGGCACTCATAACATATTTGTGGCTGAAGTCAGAACTGCATCACACYAACGTTTCTCAGTTTTATCTATTATCTAGTAGCTGAGATGTGAAACAAAAATTCATAAAGAACTTAACATTATGAAGGTGTGTTGAACGCTCGCCGATCTATTAGCGCAGTCAATAAATATTCACTGTCAGCATGAATTGTTGTTGTTCGTACAACATAATATGACTAATATGCCGATTTCGTAAATTTTAATTAATGATTAATTAATTTTTGACTGACGACTAAATTGACACACACACATATATTATTAGAATAAATTAACGCTATTGTTTCTTTAGATATGATATTATACCTGTCTAGTGCCTATCCTAAGTGAGGACGCCCACTGCAGTTTTTATAATTTGAATTGAGTTAAATCTGAATGTGAGTTTTAATTTGATTTAATTTTTATCTTATAATCTGTGCATCAGTTCATAGATTAAAAAAGATTTTATTAGCAATAATTTACGACACATAATAATTATTGATGTTAAATATGCTCAATTGTGTGTGCGCAATTTGCATGCGTTGCTGACGCTGTGACATAATACATAATGTGAACGCAGGTCCCGATTGAAAAAAAAACCCTTTCTTAATAATGACTTTCACTGAAACAGGATTTTAGGCCATTCGCATCCTGAAAGATTACGCTTATATTATAAGTTCAAGCTGGTGTTTTCGATATTTTATAACACCATCTGCAGCCTTTCATGTTTCGATTATTACTATTACCGAAAATACTACGACTCACCGTGTCACAACACACGTTGTAACGCAATTAAATATTAACTAAACAACAGTAAAATATAATCATTATTTGATTAAATCATTAATTATTTATGAACCCTTTTTTAAATACAGTTTAATTTGAGAAGTAATTAATATAATGAACGTATGTATGTTTTGATTCTTCTCTTACAAAAAACTCGTACATGGTACATCCACTAGGTATATCAACATTCAACATATAATATATAATTATTATTTATTAATTACTTTATACATTGAGTACATGACAGTTTTTTTTAATACARGGATTTGGATTTTAGCTAGGAGAGGCTAAAATTTAAAAAGTATAAGGAGGATTTTTAAACGTKTTTACGTTTGCGCGAGGCTATGCCACCTAATACCCCTAATTACGTGGACGTAGTTAAACTGATTATAAAACTAACCTATAACTACAAGTGTAAAATACAATGTAAAATCATCTTCAAGAATTTCCTGTAGAAAATAGTGTTTTAATTTTTAAATCCACGCCTATAATACTTATATAAAATAATTGAATGTTAATTTTGTATCTATATGTTTATAGAGTGGGTTTGAACTATGTCCTACATCAAGCACCATGCATCTACGCATGAGATACGTTTAATAGATCAAAATTTCTCAACMATTTTTTAATTTTGTAAAAACCTAATTCACCCTCCATCCTCTGGGTTACAAAACATTTTGTGTTTCTTTTTAATGATAATTACAAATATAATTTTTAAATAAATATCAAAATTAGCTGAGTTGGAAAACACGTTGTTCTAGATTTGCCAAAAATACCGTAGGTATTAGCGGTTAGATTAACGTTGACACTGGTAGTAAATAAATTACGGATATTATTATCGAAATTTTCAATATACAGCCACTCCTATATATGTCGCAGATGAATATATTATATCGAAGAGTAATTTTATAAGATGTTTCTTCAACGAATTGGAGGATGACTTATATGGTATATGCCTGTAAGATCGTAAGAATTATTTTTCTAATTGTTTATATAATGCTACACGATCTATAATAAAGGTATTATATAAAATCACTGCAATAATATAATCGATTAATCATTTGCCAAGTAGGTACACATAGATCACCAAATGTTTATAATTTTTATTTTTTACAAAATATATAATTTTGATAAATAATATAATAGCAACAGAAACGTATTAT